CACAAAAATCAAAAAAGGATGGGACTGCATTTGGAGTGCAATAGTCTGGTCCATTTGGCTCATGCAGAAAAAAAAGATTTTCCAGAAACAAGAGGTGAATTCGGGTAAGTTGCTTGAACTAGTTCAACGGCGATCTTTTGTATGGATTAAAGCTAGAACAGCCAAGTGTTACTTTACTCTTTCAGATTGGTTAATTAATCCTATTGCATGCCTCATTGCTAATTGTGGTGGAAAAGGCTAGGAAAGGAATGGTCAGAAAGATGAGATTAACACTAAATGGCTGGAGTTTTTGTGCTGTTTGGTGTAAGTTTACGGGTTGAGTATCGCTAGTACTCTTTATCAATAACAGTTTTGCTGTTCAAAAAAAAAAAAAAATTAAGTGTGTGTCCTTTATTTTCTACAAAGATGTGCTCATTGGCCATTGGCTTCCATATGCATACATGCAAATTATGATTTTTAAAAGGTTAGGTAGTTGCCAACAACCTAAGTAGTTTAGTGGTAATCTCTTTTTGTTGAAAGTAAGAGGTTTTGAGTTCAAGTCATATGGTATGCGAATGGAGCGGGATAAGGGATCGGAGAAGGTTGCCTCCCGTTGTGAAACCAACATAAAAAAAAAAAAAAGGGTTAGTTAGTTGGTTGTTTTAGCAAGTTAGAAATAATTTTTTTCTGAGAATAGAAGCAGTATTAATTTGATCACTTACATGCAGACCTGCAATACAGAATTTTTAAGTTTGTGCCTTCATTTAATCGAAGATCAAGTATGTTACTAGTTTCCTTTTTGCTTAAACTTGCTATAGTTTGTGTTGATTCTACTAAGGTCATTGCACCATCTTGACTTTTCAGAGATGGTTTATAATTTGTTTCAAAGATGTATAGGTACCCACTATGCCTATAAACGAGCCACCCGCCAAGATAACAACAGTTATTATCAACTCCAACCCAAAACTTCTAGCATCTTTGTTAATCTTTAGGTAGCAAAGGCATGGCATCAACATAGATCCAGTGACACTGAGAAATGCTCCAATAAGGGCCATTATGTAGCTGAAAAATGGAATGGTTAAGGCTACAACTACTGTACTTACCACAAGTGCTGTCCTTATGAGGATGCTAAGAGTCCTGCTGTTGGGAAAATATGTTGTTTTTTCAATGGCAGTAGCTAATGGAGTCAATATGACAGCATACTTTGTAAGCGGATTGATTAGTGTAGTATAAATTGCCATTTTTGTAGAAATTTTTTTAACTCGAAGATTTAGGGTCACTTGAGCGTTTAAATGTTCTCCATACATTAGTTAGCCAAGAACAGCCATTGATGCGTAGGTGATTGTGCTTGTGATGAAGCAAATAAGCAAAACCTGATGGGAAACACAAATAAACAACAAAGGAAAATAATGAGACAAACTCATATTTAAAAGGAAAAAGTTGTATCAAACTATACAATATTTTTATTATTAGATAATAATGTCTTTTGCTATTGAAACTCTCTTCTCCTCCGATGTTAATTATTTTGTAGTTTAATTCAATTTACATTGTAAAAGAAGGGGACTATTAAAAATAATAAAATCCATAGAGGAAAGGGCATTTTAGACATTTCCAGTTTGATCTGATATTTTTGTCCATTTCGATTTTTTATTATTTATTTTTTTTCCTTCTAGATTGAAAAACAGTATTATATAGAGGTTTTTACCATGGAGAACTTGCTTCTATCCTTCATGGAGTTGTAGAGGGTGGGGAAAACTGCATGCCTGCAATAACAAAAGGCAAACATGCTTATCGTAGTGGGCATTCCTCTCCAATTTAAAAACATATCTCCGCCATGGAAACCTACTCCATCAACTGCTCCAACCCACAACACACAAACGACAAGAACAATAGAAGCTAGAACTCCACCCCGCTGAAAAATAGGCCATAATTCCCAAACTCTTCATCCATGTAGGTGGCAGAACTATTAGGGAAGTCAACAGAACAAAGCCTTGTTTTCCTCCAATTTTCAACCCTGCAAATTTGAACTCCATGTTGGGAAACATCTTATGAAGATTATCACCTTCAAGTATCAGAAACTCAACTGCAACCAAATAAAGCTCGAGATACAAGAAGATCAATACTATTGCTCTTCCTCTATATCCAAAATCCAGCTCACCTATGTCACGATAAGTTTTGATGCGCATGCTTGAATCCATACAACGTCGGAGAAGAAGTCCTGTGTACCAACAGAGGATAGCTACTAGAAACAAAACAATTAGGCTCAACCATCCTCCTTGGGATAGTGAATATGGGATTGAGAGTATTCCAACACCTGAAAGACAGAAAACATATCTTGAATTCAGCCATATATGCTTGTCCGTCTACCAAGTTCAAGTTGACTTAATGAAATGCCACGTGTGAGTGTGTGGTTGTCACATACCAGTTTGATGTGATAAGAATAAAGCAAATATATTTCAGTTTTATATTTTACAATCTGAAATGTAAAACAGAAACAATTAGATGGGGACCTCTAATATTAAGAGATCTATTTCCAATCGAATGGTTTAAATTATGTAACTTAGACTACACAATACATTTTTAAATGTAAATATATATGGAGACTCATTAACTTAACATGCCAGTCTTTTATAACACGTCTCTTATATTAAAGATGACATCTAAATTATCTGTACCATTATCAATTTGTCGCCAGTTTGGTCTTTTCACATGCAAATGTACAACAATCACTATAACATTACCTACAGTTTTAGTTCATTTAATTAAATTGGCTGATAAAATGGAAAATTTTTATGTAGCAACTTAAGTAATTATGACCATGTTCACTTTTTCCTTTTCTTTTTTGGACCGGCTGATTTGAACATTTTCAAGTCATATGACAACATGGAAAAGGATATGGCAAAGATGTGTTTATTTAGAAGATTCAAATCTTGAGACACATTGAGAGGAAATTTGGGAAAGAAGGACTATATCTTATTATATAGCCTGTCATCTTATGTCTTCAAAAAGATGAGTCTAGAAGATAATGTAATGATATCTAGGAACCTGAGTGTACTATGTTTATTTTTTGTTATTAACCAAATAGATTTTATTAATTTGGAGTACAAGGGGTATTTTTGCCTATTCACATCAAATTTTACTAGTACAAAAAAGACATAACATAGTTACATACGTACTGATTTAATACATAATTCAGGATTACAAATCCAATCATATAAAGAGAACTCACCATCATTAATTGAATCCTTTAACCATAGAAAGGATTTGGTCTATATAATCCCCGCCAAACTATTTGCACCAGTTTTGTCCTGAGTGTACTTTGTCATTCAAATAAAAATGTAATACAACAATTAACAGAGCAAGG